AACGTGATCACCCCATAATTTATTTAGCTAATCAGAATCAGTGTTGCTACTGCAAGCCGTAACTTATTTTTACACCTTTTTTTTTTTTTTTTTGTGAACATATCCACAATTCTTAGATGTGGAGCTGTTTGGTCAGAGTGCATGAACTTAGAATCTGATAGGCATTATTCAAATTTCCTTTTTAAAGATTGCTAGGTTACATTCCCACTAAGAAGATACTTCTCTTAAACTGCCCCTACAGCCCTCTGCTGAGCTGGTCTATGGACACTGACTACCCCACAGAAGTTTTCAATCTGTATTTCTTTCATTAAAAGTCAACTTATTAGATTATCTTAACTTATTAAGGTATTACAATATTACCAAAATTGAGCATTTCCCAGATACTTCAAGGCTATTTGAATTTCCTTTCCTCTGCTGGCAATGTAGCTCGGTGGTAGAAAATTTACCTGACCTTGTCTGCGTTCAAGCAGCAACCAGAAAACAAATGTATTTCTTTTCTTCTGACCTGTATCCTCCCATTCTTGACCCATTTCCAAGTGAATTTTCACTATTATTTTTATACCTCACTATCCAACCATAATGATATATTCATGATAGCCAGTAGATTTAAATATCATTAATCAACCATTATTTTCACAGAGGGAAAAATCAATGTAGAGTTATACTCAACTATCTTCAAGGACCCTTCGAGACATAATTCAACGTCTGACTTTTCCTTTCCAATTTCCAGTTGCAATGGGGAATTGCCCTCACTTTGTAGGCTCCCTGTAGGGTATATTTGTCATGTTTCAACCCCATTTTGCCAAAGAGTCCTTTGTCATAACTCTGCCTCAGCCATGGATCATCCATGCAAACTTTCTAAGGGATGTAAATCATTAAGGTACGAGTTTTCATGTTTCTATCCCTGCTCACAGTTCCTGTCTTAGTGAGAGCAGAAAAGAGAAAGTGATACTTTCAAGAAGGCCTTAGTTCTTCCCTCCACCCTTAGAAAGAGAGAGAGAGAGAGAGAGAGAGAGAGAGAGAGAAAGAAGAAGAAGAAGAAGAAGAAGAAGAAGAAGAAGAAGAAGAAGAAGAAGAAGAAGAAGAAGAAGAA